TCTGCTTTTCGCTCATTTCTATTTAGTTGTTGCTGGCTTGTACATCGGCTGGTCGTACAAGTCATTGTATAGTTTTCCTCCCATTCAAACCGCGACGATTCTAAATGTCAGAAGAATGCATGGCGCACCTCAGAAAGGGTTCAGTCAAGCCCGAATCTTTATCCCTCATTTATTACCCGGATTGCAATGAAGTGTAAAGTGAACGCCTGTGTGTTCATTGAGTTCACGGCAACAGAGGCCGTTTTTTCTCCATGGAACGAGCGATTGGCCTCCACTTTGTCTGGCGAACCAGCGCCTAAAAACTAGTTCAAGGTGTTTTATCCTAATAAATCTCTCTTCTACGATTTCTTCATGAAATGGCCATCGTTCCAAAGCACCGCTAAGTGCTAGTAAATTAACTCAGCCGTAATACCAGCCCTGACCAGAAAGGTGTGAGCGTTGATCTGGGCATTATCTGGGCACTGGCGGTTGGCTGCACGTTCAGAAACTTGTAAAAGACATCTAATTCCTAATAAATCCCACTAAAGAAGACCGTCCTCGATGGTTCTCTCTCCTCGTTCCCTTTACTGTTCGTTAGAGGTGCAGTCTGCGCTAGTCGTGTGGGAGGAGATAGTGAACCGTTCTGCCTTTGACATTTGTGACGCCCACCATCTTTAAAAATTGACAGCGCCAGGACGGTTGACTGTCTCCGCCCACATGACGGCTTAGACTATACTTTGCAAGGATAGGAGACGGCAAAACTCAACAAAACCCAAGAATGCTTCTCAAGCGAATTTTTCCATGAATCCACCTTTATTCCGTGGAGGAGGACCCCACCGAGGAAGCACCATGACCGGCCCAACTCCGCCTATACGAAATTCGTGGACTGTGAGCGTAGAATGCTGTGACCGCCATCGCGCGTTCTTAGCTGCACTTTCCCGCTCAAGCTGGACTATATGAAGAAATGATCGTTTTAAGGACTAAAGAAGGCAAAGCTTGAGGGCCAAAGTTCCACCGAGACCTTTCCGGCAGAGGGTTCCCGATCAACTCTGTAGTGGACCTTCTTTCTAGACAAGGAACTTCTTGGATTGGAACATTAGGCTGTTCGGCTTGGTGGGGGCATTACATGATAATCAGCTAAGGTTCTACAGCCCAAACCGTGAAGACCTGTATATTCCTGTGACCAAAAGGCCGACTTGAACAACCTTGTAGCTTCACAGGAGTTCACATGTCTGATCATAGTGAAACCCATTTAGTTAACATGAACTGACAGGAGAGAAAGTGTAAAATGCCCTTCTGAGCCGAACAGCCTCGAACATTACAGTATACCGCGCTTACTGTACGAAAAGCGGGCTTACTGTAGGAAAAAAATCACGTATCTCCACTAACGGGCGACCCACGAAACATCTCAGATTAATGGACCGTAGCCCAGCCTACCCAGGTGGTATCTTCCCAATCTTCCGCGATTAGGAGAAAAAAAGTGGAGGAAATACGCAAGCGAATGAAAGGCTGTGTCTGGTACGCGCTAGGGGCTTTCATATCCCAACTGGTTCTTCTTCCCTTCCCACTTCTTTTATCCGCTCAGATCGTGCTCATATATCTTCCTAAACTGGTTCCATACGCTAGAAATAATCCCTTTTTCAGACATTACAACGAGGAAATCGTTTCTTCTCATGTCTACTTGGCAAAGGTCAGTCAATCCTGCTCTCTGCAGCTGCAACCTCTGTACGACAACGGATTTTCGCCCGAGTCAATTGGTACGTTTTCAGAGACATCTCCGCTATAGCATCACGACACTAATGGACCATTTTGTCGGCGGGGGTTCACGAGTCCTACGATTGCACTCAATTCGTGTGCGCTCTCGTGCTTTCAACAACGAGGAGCTGCGATAGTACGAATTGAGGACTCGGGAGCATTTATGCGAGAGAGAACAGAGAACGTGGGAAAATCGGGAGGGTATGGGAACTTTGGAGGTACGAGGGGCGATAACAAAACGAGATAGTGTGGCGAGAAAGAGCACGACACGAGACGAGACAGTGCCGCTGACGGGGAGAGGGCGAGAGTGATCAGAGCGCGGTCAACGAGTCTCGAAATGTGTCCGCTGCAAAAAACACTTCCGTGTCGACCGATCAGATGACGGCGGTCATCTACCGTATCCCGGGTGCAGGTCGTACCCGGGCCCGGTCAGTGGTTTAGTTCGCACCGTGTGGTAAGTGCGACAAACGGTCCAGGTGTGATGAGGCCGTGAGTGCTACGGACACAGATGGACACCCACTGGTACGAGTTGTCGCCTCCTAATGAATCGGGCGGCGACGACAACGGAATTGACCACGTCGTGCGCTCAGCGCGTACGCTTGACACCGTTGACCACGACGAAAGATCGCTGCGTTCGATTCGTGTTACGATCCTTCCTTTTGTGGAGTGGCGAAGCGACGAATATCCCAAGACATCGGGGGATTTGGCTGGTAAAGGGATCAGGATCATTCCCCTTGGCTGGCACGAATACCCAAAATTGCACCATTGCCGAAGAAGTGGATTGGTGAAGGGATCAGGATTATCTACCTCACAGGGATTACACCCACTATTAAATTTGCACCATCGCTGCGCTCGATTCGCGTTCGAGAGACTTGGCTGGTGAAGGGATCAGGATCATTCCCCTGGCTGTCACGGATACTCAAAAGTGCACCTCCATTGAGAAGAAGTGGACTGGTGAAGGGATCAGGATTACTAACTCACCGGGATTACACGCCACTATTAAACTTGCCATCCCAATTTCCCCCCCGCTGCGGACTCAGTTCCGCTGTTCGATGAGACTTGGCTGTGAGGGATCAGGATCATTTCGCCTGGCCTGTCACGGAATACTCGAAAGTGCACCAGCCACTGTGGGGAAGTGTACTTGTGAAGGATTCAGAAATTATCTACTACTGGATTACCACGCAACAGTTTGAATGGCGCTATGCTGCGTTCCGATTCGTTACTGAATGCCTTCTGAGTGGAACAGTCGAATATCTCATAAAATCCTTACACGGAAAAGGATGGTTGGTCGCACAGTGGCCTTTAAAACAAGATCTATATCACTGATGCGTCTGCGGACGCTGGATGTACAAATCTACCCTCTCTTAGTTCCCCCTGTCTCAAAGGTACGACTCCCGGACAAAGTTGAAATGGCAACGGATATATTTGACCAGGTCCGCCACCATTTCAGCATGTATTTGAGGAACTCAAAAACCCCCAAATTCGCTGAAATTTGACATTAGAGGTGTTCTGGTGCTCTGGAAAACAACATTGCACTCACTTTCTGTGAAAATGTCTTGTTCGCATTCTGTAGGGGGAGAAGTGTGCTAGGAGAAAGCGGAAGAGTCTTAGCATAAGCGCTCTGTTATAGGAACCGAGAACAAGTGTCATTTTCCGTCTTCTGGGTCTCGTGCGAATTGGCTACCTAAAGTGACACAGTGTTTCAACCTCAAATACTGAGATATGGTTCAACACAATATCTATTTTCGTACGAATGGGTATATCAAGCAATCGGCAACAAATTCCTTGAGGTCGCTGCAAAATCCGACTATCAAATCTCGCCCTTGGTCGCCGGAAAACTGCGACACCTCTTCTCCCCGCTCTGACTTCTCAGTTCCCCTGACTACGCTAATTGAGGTTCCCCTGATCACAAGACCGACCCTCATCATTCCTAGGATTTTTGAATATCAGTCAAGATCTGGATTCTTTTTTTTTGAGAAACGACCTATTTCAATGTGTCATGCCACGCAAATGTAGACCCGTGAAAGAGCCGAGTGCGAAGGCATATTTTCATCTGTCTGTTGCCATTGCGAGAGTGAGAGTTTGCTTCCGAACACTTTGTTCTGGACTATCTGCATTTGTTCTTGACATCACACAAAACTTGTTTGTACTCCCTATATGAGCAAAATAAATCGTGAGACGTGTTCACAGGCAAGAATGGTTCAGTTTTCCATGAAAAACCATATTCATGGCAGTGACAAGGTTCCCTGATCTATCGCTCTAGGTTAGGCTGAGTTATTAACTTCCAGAGAGCACTGCTGAAAAAATGCAAAAGAGCAGGTCCAGCAAGGACTCGAACCTCTGGTCGTATACTTGAGTCTGGTCAACACACGCGCGTCTCTGCCATCGGAGTACAGTGTAAGTGTGGTACGCCTCTATCCTATCGTCCATATTCTTGTGTAAGCCGACTGCCGAGCTCTATTGTGCTCCGTACAACAACCTCCTGCATATCTCTGCTCAGAGAATCGTTTAGCAGATATGGAAAGCAGATTTGAAATCAGCGTCCGAAGACGCATCAGTAGGTATACATCTTGTTTTGAATGGCCACTTCGACCAACCTATGGGTCGGCTTTCCTTGTTAGACTGCATATTCGCACGTCCATATATCGCATAAATTTGCTCATTATTGCACCTCCTAAAAATATACTTCTCACACTAGAGCTTTGCTCCATCGCTGGTGAGGTTGCGGCTTCTCGTGTTACGTCATCTTTCTTTCGTTGGTCAGTGGCGGGAGTTGACGTTTATTATTTTTTTCACCATCAAGACATCGGGGAGGTCATCAGATCATCAGTTTTGCCGGATATTGCACCAATACATGAAATTGCACCATTTCAGCGGTGTGGTGAACCATGCATGCGAGCTGATCTGCGAATTCGAGCAAAAGAGGGCCAGAATCACAGCGCTAGCCCTACGAGCTGCCTTTGGTCCATCGACACCATTCCATTGCTTGACGTTCACCACAAAACATGCAGCAAGTTGTGCACTGACACACATCGATTACTCGTAAGTTTAGCTTTACTAATTGAGTATTTCTGGCAAGATGCCAGCCAGTTAGCCACCCCAAAGTGAACGGCGCTATCCGTCTACATTCAATTCAATTGCCAAGATGTCATTATGTAAATGAATGTTGCATCTCTGTGGGGAATTGATTGAGTAGGCGGCTAGTGCATGTGATCTTCGAGTCTAATGGTGCTAGCTAGTCTAGCACGTTATCAGACACGACACGGTGCCGGGAGGTGAGAAGCAGAGTGCTGGTGTGGGGACCATCACGCTTGTCCCACTGGTACTAGGTGACACCTCCCAGAGCTGAGCCGTTCCAGCTGGACGAGCTGCATTCATAATTAGCCCCAACGTAGACTCTATCATGACCTCGTTTAAAGTGCAATTTAGAAAAACCCCGAATGTTTCAGGTCTATTCCTTATCTTGGACATTTGCCAACAGATTTAATTGGACGGTCAATATTGGCATTCGTCTATGCTCCCGATGTTCATGTTGTTCGCCAAGCTCATGTTGATTGTGAGTTTTCGGGGTTTAAAAGCGCTGAAAGTGAGGTTCTTTGTCTCCAGGCGTTCCCAAACCACGTTGCTTTCAGTGCACAATTCACGGGGTCGAGTGGTGAAGAGTGTGGCTCCGTTGCGCTTTGTTGCGTACAATGGGGCTTTGTTGAGGGCTGAAACCGAATGGTCAGCCTATGTGAACCCATGGACCAGGAAAATCGACATGGTCGTCGCTCGGCATAGGATAATTGACGCCTCCCATTGGAGGTATTTTACCTTAACCTAAGTAAACAAAACAATCATTTTCTTGATAGTGGGCCATTCAACAATTCGGAAGTCCTTGGTCTTACCCCTGAAAGTCCATTTTTTCAGACGCGAACGTTCTGGATTCTCCGGCCAACGGCCAATCGCTGCACGTGCTGCCGAAACCTATGGCCAAGACCTTTGAAGATGAGCTGCGATGTTTAATGAACAGGGTGAGTTTTTTTTTCATTTTTTTGCCCGAATTTTCCCGGCAATGTCCCAAATGCCCTTCAAATCACCCGGACTGCTGTTCAATGATCCACCAAATGATCAACGTATGCACTAGTTGGGGGAGGGATGGCTGAGAAGCGGGTTCTATGGCGTTGGTCGCTGGATGAAGTGCACGAAGGCCGCGTGCCAGCCGGCGCCGCGTCACTATCAGCTGTTTCGGGTGTTCGCACCAGTCGGCGATGATGTCGCCTGGCTACTTGGCGCACCCTGATACGGACTACGAACGACGAATTCCCCCCGCTTCCCCCATCACACATCTAGCCGCCGCTTACTCTCATGTCACAAACCAAGGGGAGAGTCGTAATGAGCGAGTGACCGGTGGTCATTCTGTATCGGTTGGTTGGTGCCGCTACCCGGCACCCTTAGATCGCCCCCGACGGACCCACAAAGTGTTGCGATTGCGTGTCAGGACGTGCGCGCTGTTAGTGCCAACCGCCGCGACCGTACCCGCTACGAACGAGTGAAACAAGCGCCCGCCGACCCATACGAGTGACCCGTATACCAGCAGGCGATGCTGGCACCCGCCGCCGGATCTCGTTCAGGGTCTTATTCTTCTTCAACCCCGTTTCTTTGACGGTCAGGGTTCAATCCTCTGACAAGTCAATGTCATTCACGTCTTAGCTCTGATGCACTTTGCATGGACTTTCTCGGTGCCCCTCCCCTCTATCTCAAGACTCATCCATCTTAAACATCCTATCAGGACAATAACGGGAAGCTAAACCTAGTAACAGTGGGCACGGCGCTGAGTACTCAGGAATGTGCTTGGACACGCGCTACCCCGGGGCGGTCTGATCGGTGCTAGCCACGGACGGGCAGTGCCACGCGCTGCGTTTCGGCTAAATTGTACTATAGGGCCGTGGTCAACGCTAAGCAGCTCCTTCCCAACACCAGCAATCGTCCTCAAGGCACGATTAATCAACTAATATTGATATTCTACTAATGGCCCTCCGTTACTAGTCCTAGATGGTCATCGGTCACTATTTTTTGGCTTATAAGCCTAGAATCCAAATATAATCGGATAAAGATGAGTTTATCCCTTGTATGCTTCTTCTTTGGAGATTTCTCTGGATGTGAGTGCAATTTGGTGCAATTAGCGATGTTTCTAGTGGGCATAGAATGGGAAAAAGTCAAATTATAGGAAATATAAGCTCTAAAATAGGATATAATCAAATAAAGAGAAGTTTCCCTTGTACTTTTCTTCTTCGGAGCTTTTTCGTGACGTGGGTGCAATTTGGTGCAATTTGCGATGTTTCCAGTGGGCAGAGAATTGGAAAAACCCAAGTTATGGGAACATATAAGCTCTAGAATTGGAATATAATCGAAAAAAGATGAGTTTCGCCCTAGTACGTTTCTTTTTGGAGTTTTTTTTGTTGGCGTGGGTGCAATTTGGTGTAATTTGTGATGTTTATAGTGGGCAGAGATTTGAAAAAAACACCAAATTATAGGAGAATATGAGCCCTGGAATCAGAACGTAGTCGGATAAGGATGAGTTTATCCCTTGTACGTTTTTTCTCTGAAGCTTTTTCTTGACGTGGGTGCAATTTGAGGCAATTTTTGATATTTCTAATGGGAAGAGAATTAGGAAGACACCAAATTATGGGGGAATATGAGCCCTAGAATCAGAACGTAGTCGGATAAAGATGAGTTTATCCCTTGTATGTTTCTTTGCTCTCGAAGATTGTGCTGGCGTGGGCTGCAAATATGGCGCGCAATATTTCGCATGCTTCTCTAGTAAGGGCACAGAACTGAGAAAAACGCCAATTATTTGAAATTCCTGGGAAAACTGGTTCGAAGATAAAAGTTTTTTTCACTATGAAACGCTTCATAAAAGGCCGGGCATTGACTGTGCATTATTCATGACTGACGCACTGACGTCATACCTTTGGAAAAAACAAGTCCACTAATGGTGCAGATTCTTGATGTAGGTGCAACTTGGTGCAACTTGTGATGTTTCTAGTGGGCGCAAAGCCAAATTATGGGAGAATTCTAGTGAGAACTGGTTTCGAAAAGTTTTTTCCCTATGAAACGCTCCATAAACGGGCCGAGCGTTGACTCTGCATGACTCACGACGGACGACTCTCGCAATGACGACATACCTTTTGAAAAACCATTTCACCATTGGGTGCACCTGGTGCAGATTCCCACGGTAGCGCCCGCCCCTTCCGCGTGTATATGTCTGGTGGCGTCTGTGTATGTGTTTGGTCAGCACGACCACGAACGACGACCATCACGTACTTCCGCGTACGCCGTGCCAACGTCAGACGATACCTCCTCGCTGCTGTTGACTGACTGGTCCGTTCCAGTTCAGCTTCCCCCGTCCACCATTCACTTCATCAACCATTTCACCCCTAGGGTGTTGCACCAATGTAATTGCTAGTAGTTTAATGGATTTTCTACTTTTGTAATTACTTTTTACATACATTTCTATCATTCGTTTCAGCCTGTGACATCGTGTCGCGGTAACGGTGGTGGCGATCCCGCCGCTGTAGTCGGAATGTGCGATGCCGCTGGACGACCAGCCAATCTAGGTGCTTACATTGACCGATTAGTTGAAACACTGGTAGTGAACAGTACGGGTACACAACAGCAACAACGAATGGTGAGTTCTACCCCTCCCAGGGCGACTTTTGGTAACCTTTATTATGTTAAATATATATGTTTCAGGCTAACATTCAAGTGAAGGATGAGCAGTCCGATCTCCCATTGTCCTATAATCAGATCAATTGTCTTGAAAATGTTCATCGTTTACTGAAATCACAATCTCGGCCAGCTAGTCCGACGAAATGCGAACAGGACGATTCAACGTGAGTTCCTCTATAAGGCCCTATCATTTCTAAGAACGTGACCCTCAAGTAGAAGAGTGCAATTACTAAGACCGCCCACTTTATTACGCTTCATCGCAGTTAAGTTCGTTCCTGTGTGTGCCTTGTTCCACTAGCCACCAGTCACCCGTCTGGTTCAGGCCACCAGATCGGCGCAACGGGTGCGTTGTTTGTCGCCCGTGCCACCCGCATCGAAGGACGCTGTCCTTTGCGCAATAGCGCTACCCCATAACAACAACCCCACTGGTCACACTGTCACAACAATCGTATCCTGCCCCCGTACCCTTGGCAGCTACTGATTTCTTTGGAATTTCAGGTCCAGTACGACGACGGCCATCCCGTTGACGCGAGAAATCCTTCAAGCACATACGAGACGATGGGAAGAGCAGTACCGGGACACTTGGCATCGTCGTCTGAAGCGGATGTCGGCTGAGGTACTGCCTGGTGCTCCGGCTTATAAGCATATGCGTCCTGCGTCCAGCTGTACGCCGCCTGCTCACTGGCCAACTGCAAAACGAGAAGAGTTCTACCGTAGTCTCGCACCGAATCCGCCACCACCGCCGGGAATCAACTTCCAGGTACATTTCAAGTCTTGATAGCCCTTATAAGGCCCCCATTTATGGATCCATTTACAGATCACCACCATTCCGTTGCCTCCTGTGGACGAAAAAAGCACCACTCCAACGTCAACCACCGACCGGTCGAGTGCGTTCACAGCGGTGCCTCCGAAAGGGGTTCCTCTCCGAGAACTGCCCACACCAATCGCTCTCTCCATACAGGAACATGGCTCGGTCATTCAGACACCATCCGAGCCCTTAATGGTCCCTCGTGAGATGCTCGCTCAACGACTACAATGGGCCTACGCCATGGAACCCCTTTCACTTAAACAACACACAAAAGCACTGCGTTTACTGCCAGAAAGTGCATAGGTTATTGAAATTCCTCCTCCTCTTACTCCTTATTCGTCTCTTCCCGCTTTTTCGCTCGAGAAATTGCGACCTACCCGGCGTTCTTTCTGTCGTTAAACCCGGCAAGCTGAAGCGCTGTCCGTGGTATTCCACTGCCCATTCATTATAGCCTCTACTACAAATACCATATATTTATTATTATGTATGTAATTATGTATAACGCTTTATTCGTTGCCTTCTACCCCGAGTTATTGACCACTGCCGAGTGCGTACGGCATATGCTACCGTACCGTGCACTATCGTTTGCTACCGTACGCATCACAAACGAACGAAAAAAAACACTGTCGTCATGTGTCTTTCATGGCCAGTGCCGTGCCGTAGTGTAACGACGAGCCCGGTACGGTACTGCCGACGTCCTTTACCCTATGTGATTCAAATGTTACTTCATTCCTCGTGCTCGTCTTTTGTCTCCTCCCGTTTGACTTTCATGCTCTACCCGTTCGTGGTAGGACCCGTGTCCGACGCACGAAACTTCTCCGTTACTGTGGCCATTCACCGCGGCTTTAACTCCCAATTATTTAGGTAGGGTATGTCCATAGTCGATTAAATAAGCGGGGATGTCGCAGTGGCGGAGAGCGGAGTAGGGCGATCGGATGCGTCTCGTGCAATCTGATACCTGGTAGTCTTCGTGAGTGAAATTAACGCTCGTGCGCACTTAATGCATCTTCTCCAGCACATACTCATCCGTCTTCCTCTTCTACTTTGTTTGTAGTTAACTGGTTACTTCACACACATTGTTGACATAACCGCGATCTATTATATATATGTTGTATGTACAATATGAATGCATAGGTGTTGATGAGCAATTATAATTAAACCTATGAAAAATGAGATTTTTTTATTGTGCAAAACAACATAAACAAAGAAATCTATAGAGGTCCCATAATAATTATACAATATAATGGCTTCAAACCCTGGTTTTCTTGCCCCCTCGGCCACCGCCCCTGGTTATACCTCTGGTCGTGCCTCTGCCTCGACCCCGTCCTCTTCCACGTCCTCGCTGGGATTGCTGCCGCATGCGGTCAGCTTCATCTCGAAAGGCGTGATGCAGGTTCACGAGGTCCTTGACGCTTTCATCGCAGAACATACATCCTTTGAAGGTGGTCCTGCCATCCGGCAAAGGGCTTTTGTCCTGAAAAGGGAACTTTTTGGGGGAACGATTCTGAAGGTTGAAATTGGTGAATACATTCAAAATAGTATTCTGTGGGTAGAATTTGAAGCACGCTAAGATTAGATAGGGCTATTAAGAGGCGAAAGCTCTAGCAGTCTGGCAAGACCACCCCCTTTCGATCACCTGCATCACGTCAACCCGTAGGCCAGCTACACCTATATCACCAACCTCCTAGCGATGAGTATTCCAGCTGAAGGCGGTTCTGAGGGACGGTTTTTGAGGGTTAGGGTCCTATTCAGAGCCGGTGCCAACTGCTCCAAATAAACCATACAGCAACCTTCTCTGAAAGCTCCAATACGACCCCGTGGAAAACTGTTCACTCATGGCGTGCGTTTAAAGGAAGTTGGCAGATAAGTCCCTAAGACTCAAGTCCCTAGGATTACTACGCCTGGCGGGACAGAAGCGCGCCTTTCCCTAAGGAAAGTACCCTTATAAGGATCTATCAAGCTGCAACATACCGACCAGGGCGCCCACTGCGCCCGCCCGCCTTGAAATGACCGACTGTACCTGATGCTCATACTGCTTCATTTGCGAAGTAAAATATGAAGCAAAGACGTTGACACAAAGCGGCCGCGATGCTGCACGGATGTATGAGTACATAGGTACAGCCGCCCTACCGTAGCGATACATTGGCAAGATGCCTATGGGAAACTCGTCCGAAATTGCTTTTTGAGTCGTTAAGGATGAAGGCTTTTCTTCGCAGGTTTTTACCGTTTCACTTCATTTTTTCGCCATTTTCCCCGCATTATAGCATTCTGCCAGCATTTCAGACCGAGTACCAAATTATCGTGCCACATGCCTTTAAGTACAGCATGAAGTGATTATCAGATTATTTGTGAGGGAGCAGAGTTGATTCCCATTGATTTTTCTTGATAACCTCTAATTTAAGGACGAAGTGAAGTAGTGGCGACTGGCGTCGTTGCCACGCGCGCGGGTCAACGTCCAACCCGATCAAGCCCCCACCCTTCCGGGGGCGTAACTATACTGAATGAATAAGAAAACGCAGAACTGTCCAAGAGGCAGTGACTAATTAAGGTCGAGAGTTGGATCAGAACTCCTGGACGTCAGAGTCTTGTCTGGAAGTTCTTCTCCAAGAATAGTTTGACCTCTTGAGCACAAGTATCGCAACAAATTTCTATGAAACCGCCTGGTGCGGGCTCAAGGCACTCCAAATCACCACATTTGCTGAAGACTCGCTCCCAGAGGTAGCTCGACCTTCTGAACACGAATATCACATCTGAAGGGGGCCAAGACAGTTAAGTGCTAGGTGAGGAAGTGAACGTGACAGCGCGGCGTGCTTCTGCTCTTTCGCACCCCTTGCCTTAGATAGTGATCCTCCCTCAGCTAGGTTGAACCAACTGCAGCCAGAAAGGATGCTGCCTTGCTTCACCGTGTTTCATTGTCTATCTTAACACACCACTTGGCACGGAACTGCTCAAAATCCGTGCTAAAAGCGCCGAAGTCACGACATTTGGTGTCGTCGCCTGTGACGTAAACGCCAGGCGGTTTCGAGCCAGGTGGATGTCAGATTCGGTTGGGAGGGGGAGGGAGCAAATTATCCCTGAAGACAAATTTCTAGTAAAACTCTGCACTCTGGAAGACAATTCGATCACAAGCAGGCCTGATTTCGGAAGACTGAGGCAGCAAAGGGTTAGCCGAATTTTTTTCAATGTCCAGGTACTCTTCGTGACATAGAGTACTGAGGATGTGATACAATCACAAAAAGGGTCACTAATCAGAACTAAAGCTTGAGAAATCTAAAATGAAAAACTGAGTTGCAATTTTTTTACAGTTGCAAGGCTGAGCCAAAAAAATGAGCAACTGTCTATTTTTTTCGAGAATCAGGGTACCTAACAGAAACTCGGCAGATGGACAGCAGGGTTCAGAAATCACTATTAGTCATACCAACAAATCTATTCAAGGCTGTAAGATATACTGCCGAAGCTAAGAGAGGTGTCACAGGAGGATTCAACTGGTTCATTAGGGGTCAGGAATTCAGTGAGACTTCAAAGGAGGTGCAGCACACTTGTGAAAACGATTAAACTCAATTATCGGCCACTACAACACGATAACAATGGCGAACGACAGGAAGGAATGATTAGTTTGCTGACGTCTGCTCCCGTACATCAATGATTAACGAAAGACAGGTGACACCCTCTATGGGTGGTTCAGAGCTGTCATAGCAACCTATAATGTGCAAAGGTTCTAAAACTTGGGTGGGGGTGCCTAGAGCTCGAAGGGGAGCGGTAAGGGAAGAGTGCTTGAGGCCTAATATGGATACAAAAGAATGTTAAAAAAGAAAAAGTTAAATAAGGGCTTGGTGGGAGGTGGAAGACCAGGGCACATCGCTGGGGATTCCTCAACAGGAGGAGTTCGTACTTGAGCAGAGAAAAATTTATTTTTTCAGTGTCATAGCTATTTTTTGTTTCACAGACAATGTGAAAGGGGGTCGTATTGGTTCGTTGTCGAGAGACGAGAGGGGGAGGTAGTATTTCTCTTCTGAACCGGAAGGGAAATAGGTCTTCGTGAAAGCTCGTTCCTCCGAGCACAGAGAACCCAGTGGGCAACCCTAGCACGTTGCACGGACGAGTGGAAACTCCACTAGCGCTCGCTCGAGCAACTCGACGATCACTGGGAGCGCAGGTGATACAGGTACAGGCCCCACCATGGATTGAGCTGCACCAGATTCAAGTTCACTAAAGAGTCCCTTATTTAGAAAGCAGCATCCTTGGAAGACGTCTGAAAGGAAAATGGGGGGGGGGGAATTCATAAAAACATCATTCTCCAGGATACAATGCTCGGTTTGTGCCGTAAACCCAAATTTCGCGCTCCAATGAAAGGTAAAGGCAAGGTCCGCGATCATGTATAGGGACTGAAAATATGGCGTCGGGAGAGTAGTGTGGTCCGCGACGAACAACCTTGTACCGGTTTCGCGGCAAAAATTGTAAGGGAGGGGCGCTATAGCGCAATATAGGTTCAGTGACGCCTCCTTTTTCCAGTGACTCCGCCTCCAGACTCCGCCTTCAAGGCCCGCCTTTCAGTGAAAACGAACTGCAGGACGAAAAAGCATGAAAATCGTCACTCATGCGGTCGTAGAGTTATGATGGACATTCAGCTGTGAAGGTGAGGGCAGTGTTGGAAATGGAGTTAATTGGGCACGTACAAACTGGGATCGAAATGGGGTTCTATCTAGGGCAGTTGGCATGTTTTTTTCTGCTTTTTTCTTCACTATCGAGTTACTCAGCACCTTGTCGTCTATATGCAAACCCCTAATCCACTATCTGTGATGGCGAATGATCGAGGGCCTTACCTTTAAGCCTAACTGAGGACATATTACAGTATTTTGTATGAATTATGGCGCAGTTCGGCTTGGTGGAGGCATTGTGAACCTTGTGAAAGCCTTTCGCGAAAACTTGCAAATTCATGTGAACAAAGCAGATCACTTCTTCCCTCTCGTAGTTTTACAAGAGTCAACAGGTCCAGCAGTGTAATGAGCAAGTAAAAGGAACCAGCATCTGATCCGAACAAAACATGGATTGCTTAAATTCGTAGCTAACAAATAGCTAGTTGAATAAAGAGTGTATGGAATAAAAGTGAAGAAGAATTGAAAACTGTCCGACTTACTTTATATTCTGCGACTACGATACGCGCCTGACAATCTGGACATGAAGATTCCGAAACACGGAATTTCAGAGCTCCATCGAACATCGCCACCACTGACGGACATCGGTTACACGTCAATCTCCATTTGGGATGAGATTGCGGATCCAATACCATAACTCCTTAATAAACCGTTACAATATTGAAGGAACCCTCGTGGGAGGGGAGGGGGGGAGCAGTTCGACGACGGGGCAGGACGTTTTGAACTTTCGCTGTTTCACCAGTTCTGGTTTACAAGTCTCACTCCAGTGAAACATGTGAACTCTTGTGAAGCTCGATCAAGCTCGCCGAGCCACCATGGTAAATGGTACTTGTGTGGTATTTCATTGTTTTACAAGAATTAATAAGTACTTTTTACAAGAGTTGACAGGTCTCCACTTGATGCCTCGACAAGACAATGTGAAGTAGCAGAAGTGCAAAATGCCCCTCCCTTACCCCTCCTCTGTCGCCGCACTGCGACGAATTTTTATCAGCATACAAATAGCGCTGTTGTTACAGTGGTAAGTGGCACTGTTCTCATAAAGATGCAGTTTTTGGACCAAATCCAAACACTTCGTGATCCGGCTCTACTATGAACCTGTATTTGATCACAGAATTCTTTGGATAAAAAACGCTGATGCAATCGCTTCAGGTGTCGCCGTAACAGCCAAACAGGCATTCGGCGCAGTTTCGGCGACGGGGGAGGAGCATTTTGTACTTTTGTTGCTTCACTAGTTCCGGTTTACAAGTCTCACTCTGGTGAAACCTGTGAACTCTTGTGAAGCTGGAGCAAGGTCGTCAAGCCATCATGGTAAAACCTGTCAACTCGAGAAGAGGCTGTCTAGATAGGTCGACACGTCGATGGGAAGTAGAAAAGTGCGGAGTGCCCCCCCCCGTCGCCGAACTGCGCCCAGGCATTCAACTGCCTCTACGATATCGAGAAAAATCGACGCGTGGCGCATCACTGGGGCGTGTCTTATACTATTTTTCTGGCTCGTTGCAGCTTCCTATTATCGATCTCTATCACCACCATCACAATCAATGGAATTATGCTATACTTAGCCTGTAATAGGGAACTCTAAAGGAGATCCAAGACTATCCACCCCCTACTGCCTCGTTTTACCAAATGCAAACCGCTTTGGTAGAAATTTTCCCTCCGGCACTGTAACTGACTATGAGTACGACCTAGGGAGTAATCTGATTCCAGTATGCGAATAACACATCTGTTAAGCCCCAATCAGGGTGGTGCCTGTGGCAGATGGGCCAGCACGCGCAGTACACGTACCAGGCACTTTTTAGCCAGTCTGAACCAATATTCGTGTTCAGAAGTCGAGCTTCTAAGGCCTCTTGGCGCGGATGCCAAGCGAAATCGCGCTGGTGATGGCGATATTCGTGTTCGGGTTTTTGAAAATAGTTAACTCCCTCCCCCCTCCCTCCCAGTGAGAAGATTGCTTCGACTGCGGCTAGAATTCCGAACAATGACGCTGTAAGGCCTAAATGGTGCGAAAACCCAATCTTCAGCGACAGGTCTTGCGCCATTAATCCAACAATCAAGCGCTTTCCGTTAACTGTCACTTCTCCGACTAATTACCCCTTAATGCCTCTGAAGTCTACTCGGAGTGCGATACTGAGACCGCTCTTCCTCCCTCGATACCTTCGTTTGACGCAAAACTCAGTAGAAACTTGGGCCAAACCAAAGCCAAATCTTACCTCCACATTCCTGAAGACAACCACAAACTCCGGATGTCCTGAAATACTTCAAATTAGGGTAAAAACACTCAGAACCGTACTTGAAAAGCCAACTGTCGGAAAAGACTCACATGTACGAATGTGGGCATCCAGGATGAGGGCAATTTGTGCATCCTTCGCCTTCCTTCATTGATTCAAACGGTGGATTATTGTAGCAAAATGGGCAGAATGCAAAGCTTCTCGCGAGCTTTCCGCCGGAACCCTCAAAAAGTCAAAGTCAGCACGACCCAGTATGTTCTCAATAGTATCTTTACATACTGACTACAGAAGCGAAGAAAATTGAGTAAGGAAAAATTTTCGATCTGAATCTAATTTATCTCGGTTCACAAAGTATAATATTACAGAAGGGCACAGCAAAGGTGACGCTAGCGCGTCCTCTACGCAAAGCACAACAAGTTCGGTCACTTTTGGTGCCCAAACTAACTCTCAGGAAGACGTATAGCCTTGTTCGCTAACGATGCCGGGCGTGTCAGGGGGAGCCAATCTTTATTGAATGTGGTGGTCTGCCAGCTGCCACGATTGGTGGCGAAAGAGCTTTCGCTACTCCGAGTTAGCTCCCCCTGACACGCCCCATTATCCGCAGCGAACAAGACTGCGCGCTCTCAGAAGAATACAGACTAAGGCTTCTCAACGGGGCAGCTTTCTATTTCAGAAGTTAGGCGACTCACATGCCAATAGACGAGCTCGAACTCGTCCAATGGACACTTCTTTTCTCCGTACGGTCGAAGAACACCATCCTTGAAATTCGGCACGGAATAGGTCTCCTGCAATATCATCTTCGAATTAAAATGGAAAAAATGGGAAATGAGAAAATGTCCGTTATTA